TATCTTGTGACAAAAAGGCATGACACGACTACTATTTAAAATTGCTTCCTTAACCCATAATTCTAGTAGATGCACCAATTTCACTTGACACTTAATATCAGGGGTCAGTTCCCTACGAGCACATTTAAATCCTCTAGAAGCGCCCGCAAAACAGTCAGAGGTTATCACACTTAAGGTAGACGAATATGGTAAGTCGGTATCTGCGTCGGCAGCTCCTACGCAAAGTCTGAACGACAGCTATTTAGCCATAAATAGTGTTTGATTTTTTTTATCGTCTGTCGGTCTGCGTTCGATATTTTTTATCAACCGCCTACTAATATTTTTAGCATATGCAATGGCAGAATACCGGCAAAACACGTGTCTGGGAGTTTAGGTAGACCGTCGGCTGCTAGTATTGCAATATAAAACATTACGCTTCTCTGAATCAGCCAATCAGAACACGCACAGATCGACAGTGCGCGAATGCCTGTGCCCAGCGCGTGGGGGTGACCTTCAGTGACTAGCATATAATAAAAGCTTTGACTGTGCTCACATCTACACCCAGTCTAGCTGTCATGTCGAGCCCACAAGCGTAGCTATTTGAAGACGAATTGCCACTAATCCGCAGCTGCCCTGCTCTCAACCAGATTCGCATTGCAGAGCAACTGGAAGACATCACCATCGAGGTAGCTTACTTTACTTCCATTGGTCTTTACATGATCTGTTAGGTAAGGGACGGCGATCCGTTGCATGCTCACAAGTTAGTGCTTGCAGCCCGCATTCCTTCCTTACGAATAGCTCTCGTCGGCTCGCCCAAGGGGGGTACTTTCTTTCTGCGATGGCCGACAATGCCTTTAAGGTGAGATTTGCATTAGAGGCTCTTTCATGGCTTTGTATTGTCTAGTCTCGCAACTTCGCTTGTCAATTATCTGTACACCGGTCAGCTGGAGATGACACATGTCAATGTAAAGGGCCTGATTAAGTTAGCGAGAATGTTGAAACTGCCAGCCGTGGAGAATTGGGGCACGGAATTCCTGGTCACCACGTAACTACTTATTTATCCGTTTATCTCATTAGAGTCAATTGTGAAAATTTAACAACTATTTGGGACTTTGCCAAGTCAATTAATAACTCAATACTGATGGAAGCTTGTCTCCGGCGAATGGCGGCACAATTTGAAAGCTTCATTTACAGTGACACGTTTGTTCACATGCTGGCTAGCGCCGTGCTGACTTTGCTTCAAAGTGACAGACTCGCAGTGAATTCTGAGGAAGAAGTTGTGGCTGCCATATCACGGTGGGCGACTTCTTGTAAGGGACTGGAAAGTGAAAAGCGGGAACTTGATGTTCCGCAGTTGCTGAAGGAAGTTCAGTGGCAGCAGACATCTGCGCAATTTCGAAGGCGCTTGCTGGACTATAACCCAGTATTTCGGATGAGTTCCGATTGTGCGTAAGTGTCTATTGTCCAGTTTCACTTATTTTGGAATAAAAGTCGACTTCTGGCTCAGATTGAACAGTGGCTTGGGACTTCGGCCGGAGCCAGGCCTCTGTGTCCTTTCAACCAACACATAAGACCAACCCAGAAATTATTTCTATTTGGGACAAATGATCATCAGAATGGAGGCATGGTCCTTCGCTTCAATTCCCAGCTGCAAAAGGAAGAATTGGTTTCTAGCGCAGAATTGCGCCGTTTCGCCTGTTACAGTGCCGTGGATGGTGAGTTGCTGTAAGTATATACATATTCGTTTGTCTAATTTGGCATGCCGTTTCGAAAGTTTTGGACAGTTTACGTCGTCTGGTTTGTTCACAGCCACCTTCTATACAAGTCGCTTTATGTTTTTGCAGCTACTATTCCTGGCAGCACCGTTACTGATCGGTGGGCATTCCTCAACGAAATTTTAGATTTTGATGTCAGAGTTAGAAGGTGGTCACCTCCCAGAATTGCCTCTAGATAGTCCGCAAACTTATATTAAATACTCTATAGTAACGTAAAAGTCTATCCGCCAATTAATTTACATATCAGCATAGCGTGAATGTGAGTCTTATTAATATTTTTTGAAAATTCAGAAACGCTCAGACACACTGGTATATTTATTTTTGAAAACGCACTTCGAAAGGCAAATGCAAACACCGGCCTCAAAATTATTATACTAAGAAAGAACGTTTTTTACTGCAAAACGCTTAATGTTTGGCCCTTAGGCGTCGTATTTTCCGCTGTTGGACGGCGCTTGTTTCTATTATAAAACATGGGAAAGTATGTCGGTCAGCATTTCCTGGTCTCTGGAATACTATGTCGTAGAAATCTTCCATTTGTGGGGTTTGCACGTTGATAGCCTAGGGGACAAATTGGAACGCTCGAATGAGATGACTAGTCTGCGGAACTCTTAGTGAGTAGACATGGAGTAGCAGTTGTTAGTTTGATGTGGTCATGAATGTCGTTTAACCATGACCTATAGAATTTCGTCGTAAGCCCGTGGTTTGCTATGTTCATTAATGTTGTCTGTTGGAGACAAAAATCACCAAACATACAGCTTTTTTCGGTTGTCCAAAACTACAATTCTCAACTTAGAAGTTCGTTTTACTTGAGGTAAGGCATCGGAGGCCAAGTCACCTGCATCTCGCCTCCGATCTTCAAGACTGTTTTGACACACAACACAGGTGAATGAGGCTA